CATGTCCACTCTTCTATGTATCATGTCCACTCTCCTGTGTATCATGTCCACTTTTTTTAGACGAAATAAAAAATAAATTGGACATTATACTTTTTATTTTGGAACCAATATTTTTAGACGCTATGCTATAGCTTGAAGATGCTACTCTTTATTTCAGCCGTAACTCTTTATTAATACACTTATCCCAATAGCTTTGAGAATACTTGATCTAGCCTTGACAGTTTTCAACAGTAACTGTTTTACATGCCTAAGTAATTCGAGGTGTGAGCTTAGACTCTTTATCTAACGGATTTCTCTTAATATGGCTCTTGATTTTGGCCCGGCATTCTTCAATCGGGTTCAAGAAAGGAGAGTATGGGAGCAAAAACAAAGGCTTGTATCCTCTTTTGTTAATCGCGTCCACAACAAAAGAAGAGTGGTGGATTCTGCAATTATCCATGACAATAAAAAATTCATGCTTTTCATGTCTATCCAGAATATCCATGACAGCTTCAACAAATTTGACAATGTAATAGGCCGTAGTGCCTTTTTTTTTTTTGGGCGATTTTTCTGGTCATCTTCATCCACATTAACTTTTCTTTTCTTAGGGATTGGCTGTGTGAACTCTTTCTCTATTTTTTCAGCATCACCTCTCTTCAATGGTTTGACTTTTGAAAAATTAATTGTGGCAAAGGGTGAGATACAGACAACAATGCTTATATTTACTCCTTTTCTATTGTGTACTTTTACATTAGCTGGATCTCCAACCTTTGACCAAGCTCGACCTTTCATCATCTGAGTGTGGAAACCAGCCTCATCGATAAAGACATAATTCTTCTGGAAATCTACACCTATTTCTATCCGTTTACTTACTATTTCATGACGAAGAAGGATGGTTCTTTCAGCATTTCTATCTAAATTGTATTTCGATGCTTGCTTCAAAGAAAAAAGCAATGTTCTGTCAAATATTTCCATAAAGCAGGAAGTGAGATGGTCAAGCCTTCAAAATGAGAAATCAGTTCTTCTCTAGCCAAGTCAAGTGTGGAAGATGAATGCTTATCAAAATAGTCAATCAGAAACTGACCGTGTTCGGCAAAGAGTTTCTGAGGTGTGCCTCTTTTAATTTTCTTTGAAGCACTTCCAGGTAAAACGGTACTATTACTCAAATTGAATTCGTTGAATAATTTGTATGCACTGCTACAAGGAATCGTACACTGCTTAGTAGCTGTAGGTACAGCAGTCATACCTTCTTCCTGCATTAATTCGATAAAAACTCGAATTTGCTCTTGGCTGTACTTCTTGTATCAATTTTTATCGTTACTGATGGAGACCTTCTGTAGTTCAGAAGAGATCTCCTTAATGGTATTTTTCATCTTATATTCAGGGACAGAAACGTGTCGAGATCGGCTAACTTGGTGATGTTGCCATATTGGAAAGCGGAATCCTTAACCTCCATTGCGTATTCTGAGTCACTTTCTTCTTCGACATATGATTGAATCACAGACTTATAGTTAATGAAATCCATCTTTAATTCTAATGTCTAGAAATATTGGTCCCAAAGCAAAAAAGTATAATGTCCAGTTTACAGTGCTCACGGCTTCAAATTGCGTCCAAAAAAAATTCATTGCGCATCTTTAATTTTCAAACAGCGCATAATTATTTGGTCAAATTGCGCACTTGTGATTTCTCAAACTGCGCTAATAAAAAAGTCAAACTGCATATTTTACAACTCAAATTGCATTACTTTTATTCGTACCTTTTTCATAAGCTATTATCTCTTTAAAAGCAAATATCAGATCGATAACATGTACTCAATAAAAGGAAAAGTTATTTTTGAAGATGGTCAAGGAAATGTTATCGATCTGATATTTGCTTTTAAAGAGATAATAGCTTATGAAAAAGGTACGAATAAAAGTAATGCAATTTGAGTTGTAAAATATGCATTGGTTGTCGTACCTAAACGAATCCCAGTTGACTCCACTTCGACCTCCAATGTGATACATGCTCTCTGAGCTACGCTTTGTTTTCCTTATATGATAATAATAATAAAAATTCCCTTCCTTCCCTATATCTTTCTAAGCCGCGCATTCGTGGATAAACTATGACTGATCCGATTAACAATAATGAACAAAGGACATACACCGAAGACGAAGTTATCGAATTACTTAGACGAGTCAAAACTGCCGAGCAAGCAGAGACTCAAAAAGCCAGAGAAGAACGACAACTACCATTGGGGATCACTTCCTCTTTGGACAACCTTACGAAGCAACAACACCAAGATAATTTCAAACGCTACAAACGAGAAATTACTAAATACCGCCACGACGAGTGGACTGTGGCCGAATAGATCAACAAATCCTTCATACCAAAACTTAAACAATACACTGTTGACACAACTCAAGTCGTTAACGCTCACTACAAAGGAGCGAAGAACAGCAGGTTACACGGAAGAGCAGCAACCGAAATTTATGAACAGCTCCCCATCATCCAAGCAGGAGAAATCTCAGCAGAAGAAGCTCATCAACTTTTGGACGAAGCCATTGAAAGCGCCAAAAGACTTGCAGTTCACGCCTGGATCCAAGGTGTACAGCATGATGAAGATGCTAAAGACTACGCCATTAGAGCGCTTAAATTACCCCCAAATCTTAAACACTTGGAAACAAAAGAATCAGGCAACAAACGAGAAGCATTTAGTGAAGATTTTATCACCATGGAGTGGGTGTGTGGTAAGGAGAGACACCCACAGCTGGATGACCGATGACCCACTCGCCTGTCCTTACCTTGGTCTTTTAAAAGCCTCCTACCTCCATGGCCATACCCCTCCGACTTGGACAGCCTTGTCTTCCTTGGATATCTTTCTCATCATGTAGTTCTACACATCCTCCCCCTGGCCAGTCACCTATCCTGCCTCCCCTTGGTCCCCCATACTACTCCTTCATCTACTAGTCGCGGTATAGCCCAGTGGATGTGCAAACTTGGAAGGGTGGTGGAGGGCCTCCCATGTACAACGAAGCCAACTACCAGCAACGAGTACTTAGAGCAGCCACCACCAACATGTCAAACGGAAGAGGTCGAGGAGGATATTCAACTTCCTCACATTGGAACAACAATAGAGGAGGACGTGGATACTTTGGACGTGGTGGAGCAAAAAACTGCTTTGGAAGGCGGGGACGTGGGAACCCAACCTTCCACCACAACAACAACTTCTCCAACAATTTTCACAGTACAACACCAACAGACCTTTCAACACCAAGAAATTCCAGTCACCAGTAACACCAAACTCATTCCAGGTAACACAGGATCATATATCGTCTCCAGCACAACAATCAACACCACAATCAGCACCACTACTCCAACAACAAATAACGACACCAACATTGAACTATACTATTCCATCAGACGGAATTCGTCCGGGCGACCGACTTCGACAATTTTTGAATTGTTGGAAGACAATAACAAATCATCCTTGGCCTATATCGGTGATCCAGCATGGTTACAAAATCCAATTTACAAAAACGCCAATCTCATGGAAGAACCAGAGACAACAAACAACAACGGAAGATCAATTTCACATCAACGAAGCAATTCAGAAATTTCTGAATGGAGGTATGATAGAGAAATCACCAACACAGGACCGACGATTCCTCTCCAAATTCTTTACATTACAGGAACAGACCAAGAGAAGACCGATTTTGGATTGTCAAAAGTTAAACGCTTTCATTCAAGTAGAACATTTCAAAATGGAAGGAGTTCCAGCGTTAAGAGAATTGATAGAAAAAGACGATTATATATGCAAAATAGACTTAAAAGATG